ATATATATATATATATATATATATAGAGAGAGAGAGAGAGAGAGAGAGAGAGAGAGAGGGTGGAGAGAGATGAGAACGGTATTGAGTGACCGAAACAATTTGCACTCGTTCCACCGCGGCTGAATTTTATGAACTTTCACGGGCAACTCAGTGCGCAATTCATTACCCTACGATGCAGTTCCCTTGTCGGTTCCATTTGAGAATAATCGCGTTTACCTCGCGTGTCGCGATGCACTGTTACCTACTTTCAAGAACCTCGCTCGTTTCGCAATTTAAATTTTCTTGCCGGATTGTCAAGTATCTTTTAGCTAATTTTCGAGCAATATTGAAATGCGTACTATATGTCTTATAAATAAATGTGAAGATAATATATATAAGAATCATAAAATCTGTTTCTTTATGATGAGGAAATCTTTTAAGAATTATTTTAATGATGCATTAGTTGTAGGAGACTTGCTAAAAATAACACAATACCGGTAAAAGATAAAATTAAGGAAATTATAAATTTTGAATATCATTTTACTTCTATGATTCAGTTTTTTAATATTATAATAATTTATGTTCTCATGATTTGGAGAATCGTAAATAATAATAAAGTCTTAAATAATGAATCGCGAAAGAATTTACTATAAAAAAGTTAAAGAAACTTCCATCAGAAGTTTAGCAAGTTTATCGAGTGGTACATTTCGTGCAGAATAGCTTGAACGTGTGTACGACGCGTGAAAGCATTAGCGTGTGATGTATTTAAGTTCCTCGTATGAAATCCGCGGCAACGATGGCTGCCTTAAGCACTCTCGCAGCAGCTGGCATTACAATTTGGAAATCCTCCATTAAATAAGCCAACTTGAGAAACTTCGCTGGTCTGTCCACGATAGGCGTTTTAGATTTTAATTAAGTTCTTGAAGATTTTTATCGAGCCGTTTACGAATCCTCCTCGATCTATGTTTCTTTCGAATCTAAAGATAGATTGGCGAAATCTAAAATCGACATATATTTTGCACACATACATTTTGCACACATACATTTTGCACACATACATTTATTTATTTCAAGTAAGAATTGATTTAAAAAATCGTGATGTATTAGCCAATAAAATTCTATCTACCAAATTAAATATCGTCGATCGAAGCTCAAGGAAGGATGGGTCAGCAAACAATATTTTTCACAGAGATCTAATCCATTCTTATGCTTTCCATTTTTATGATCGGGATACCTATAGTTAACCTCCCCTACCAACTATTCTTTGAACATGTGGAAAAATGTGCACATTGTGGTCACTCAGCAGCCACTAGTGGTCATTTTCTTCGATCACATTCCTTAGTGACTACTACAGACATTTCTGGTTTCTTTCTTATTTCTCAACTATTTCCGTGGACAGCGTGTCGTCCCGTTTTGAATCAGCGATGGAAAATATTCTACCATCCCTCGGGTTTTCTTTCAACAATACCTTTCTGAGAGCTTGTACACTTTACCTTGATGAAATTGGGATTTGTAAAAATTTCAGCACTTGAGGAATACGGTTCTCGGTAATTTCATTCTAACGTGAAAGACCCATTTCTTTCAATGGAGAATAAAATTACAATAACAAAGAAACAAAGCTAGGGTATTAAAGAAGATATTTCAGCAATTAAAAAACGGTACAGGAATGCTTAAAAAAAAAAAAAATAAAATAAAATTACAACGATAAAAATAAGATAAAATAACGAAAAGGAATTACAGTGGTAAAAAAGATAAGATAAAAATATTCAAAAGTAATGGCAACAATAAAAGAGATAACGAAAAGAGGAAAATTCGAATAGAAACCAATTTTTGCAACAAAAATGCAAAGGATTCAAATTTCTCGAATGAAAGTTCTCGCATTCGAAATACTAGCATACTTGTAATTATACTCGGAATTATAAACAGCATGTTTTAGAATTTAAATTCAAAAATTTATATAAATAAAAAAGGCCGAAATATTTTGCTGATTAATAATACAGTACATTATATTTCAAAAATTCCTTAACTTTAATTATAACTTGACATCTCTCATAGTTGCATCTTGCCCATAAATTATTTGAAATTTTCGTGAATTTATCCTTCAAAAGTTCCACGAGAAGCGAAAGAAAAGTTTGACAGACGTTTCTCGAAAGGTTGAACAAATCAGACTCCGAACTTATATGTTTTCGAGTCTTCTCGGAGGAACAAATGGTTTCGAGTTGGGCAACAGAATCCTCTGATTCCGTGATCCTCAAAGTTTTACATTACGGTTGATAGTTTTGCACTCTTGATTAAAGATGATACCGTCAGACACAATTCGCCTACTTGAATCTCGCGCAAACTGCTCGCACATCTTGCTTCTAATTAAACATAGAAATTTGCTTTTCAAGTGTAGCGCGATTATATTTTCAGAGAACGAGTAAACTTTCGTATATAGGTCACATAATTTTTCGTGTTTCTAACATTTTTCTTCTTTCCATCGCTGTACTTCTTTTTCGATTATCGTCCATGCTTTTAAGCTCTTCACGAAAATTTACCGCCTTCTCTGACAACTAGGTTTCGAATACATATATGCAAGGTATATGAGCTCTCATGTAGGTGAATAGACTATGTGATCACGTAAATGTCGCATAAACACTCGAATGAAACGTTAACATTAAATGGATTCGACACGAGTGATCTCGATATTTGATCTCGAAATTTACGCATCCTCTTTAAGATTATGCGCTCACCCTGTTGAATATTCATGATCAACCAGAAATAGAATGTATTCAAGGCGTAATTCCACCATAATTGGTTACCAGCCTTCTAAGTGATAAATACGCGTGCTCGTTCATTGTTTTCTTACATAGAAAATTTGCCCAAAATTAGCGAAATCGATATGTAACAATCGTGGGCAGATTTTTGAGTATGAAAATCCGGAATGAAGATAAATGTTACCTACATAAGAGATATAGTTGCTGGCTGGCAACAATTCAATGCGTACAATTGACGTCACGCTCGCACTATTTCGAATTAATGAAGCAGAACCTGTTCGAAGTTTAGTGGCTGGTAGCGTTCAATCCACAAGAGGGAGAGAGGGAGAGGGAGGGAGAAGAGACATTGACGCAGAAATTTCGACAACTTGTTTTTATACAAAGATATATATATTTTAAACATATGCATTTCTATTCAAGAGACTAGCACAAACGAAATACGTTTGACGCGCGACCTATTTCGAGTTCGCGATGCGACACGCTGCAGTTTTTGCGTGTGACTAACTTCCGCCAGAAATTGAACACGAAAAGCAACACTTGGTTCAAAGGTGAGATGATAATGCCACGCAAAACGGGAAAATTTCACGATCAAATCGTTCTTTTTGAGAGTAATCTTCTAATTATATGTGTATAAATTTTTTTCCTACGGTTACACGCAAGAAATTAAAAACTAAAAATCTAAAAAAAATAATGACAAAATAAAATTACACGATATCGGAAAATTTACGTTAATCATTTCGTTATGAAATCAAAAT